CCCAAATCTCATCTTGAATTGTAACTCCACAGTTTGCACATGTTGTGGGAGGAACCCAGTGAGAGGTGACTGAATTATGGGGTTGAGTTTTTCCTATACTGTTCTTGTGATAGTGAGTGAGTTCCATGAAAGCTGATGGTTTTAAAAATGGGAGTTTCCCTGTACAAGCTTCCTTTGCCTGCTGCCATCCGCAGAAGATGTGACTTGTTCCTCCTTGCCTTTTGCTGTGATTGTGAGGTCTTCCCAGCCATGTGCAACTGTAAGTCAAATAAACACTTTTCTTTTGTAAATTGCCCAGTCTCAGGTATGTCTTTATCAGCAACATGAAAACAGACTAATACTAATACACACACACACACACACACACACACACACACACACACCCCTCTAGGAAGTTTTCACAGAAAATCTCCCTGGGGTGGGAAAAGATTAAAAGTAAGCAACTATCATTTAAGGAACATACCAACTACTATAATACCTAAGTATTACTACAGAATATCAATTATGATCAATGCCTGAGATAAATATGCTCTAGGAACTACAGACATCAAGTTACTGTTGTTCAATTACCAAGCATTTTACATCTTAAAATCTACAGTCAGATATTATGTAAGATTTTTAAAATGTCTATTTTAAAAGAAATACTTGCCAAGTAATAGAAAAACTTCATGTATCTTTATTGTGTTAATAGAACAATTTATTCCTCTATAAAAGAAAAAAAAAAAACTCAACCTGGTTTTTGTTTAAAAAATTTAGAGGCTGGGCGCGGTGGCTCACGCCTGTAATCCCAGCACTTTGGGAGGCCGAGGTGGGTGGATCACGAGGTCAAGAGATCGAGACCATCCTGGTCAACATGGTGAAACCCTGTCTCTACTAAAAATACAAAAATTCAGCTGGGCATGATGGCACATGCCTGTAATCCCAGCTACTCAGGAGGCTGAGGCAGGAGAATTGCCTGAACCCAGGAGGCAGAGGCTGCGGTGAGCCAAGATCATGCCACTGCACTCCAGCCTGGGGTAATGAGAGCGAAATTCCGTCTCAAAAAAAAGAAAAAAAAAAAAATTTAGAAATATTTAATTTAGCAGGCATATGTGTGCAAGGAAATATTGACACAAAACATTAAAATGACTAATGCTAGCCCCCTTTTCTAATAAGATATCTTCTAGAAGTCAAATTTTATTGGAGAGTCTTAAATCTATTTAAAATAAAATGTGGCTCACCAGGAAACACTAAAATGACTAAAGTCTCTCTGTAACTTTTTAGTTGAAAGGTTAAGTCTGAGGGAAGCTATTATGGCAATAAACCACAGTGCTCCCAGCATTAAAAACAGAATTCACCAGGGTATTTTTCAAACAAATATACTGCTATATAGGTATCTTTAGAACAAATATTCTCTCCAATAAACTAAAATACTTTTTCAAAATTATGGTAAATTAAAGGGGTATATATTTCTTCTTACTCATGTATAAGGCAGAAAAAAGCAAAAACAAAACAAAATGCCTTCATTAATTCCATATACTAATTACTGAAATGGCTTCTTTTATTTTACATTAAAACAATTAAAAAGTAACTGCACAAACTAAACAATTTAGTTTTTCATAAACTTCAAAATATTTTATGCAAACACATAAGTCTACTCTTTCCAAATCTTAACTAGCCCACTTTTCTAATAAGATATCTTACAGAAGTCAAATTTTATTGGAGAGTCTTAAATCTATTTTAAATAAAATGTGGCCCATCGTGAACTATTTAAAATTTAAAACAAAAATATTTTAATAAAAAATTAAAAATATAAAACCAGGTTCCTTATGTATCTTTCCATTATTTCCTCAAAGAATTAATTTTATCTTTTAAATTAAACTTTAGATTTTTTTCAAGACAATCTGCCAACTTACAGTGTTAGTTGGATCTTCTTGTAAAATCCTATCATATAGCTGTATAGCATCATCATATCTATTTAAAAAGAAAAAGAAACACCTACAATTATTACCTTAAAAATATGGTGACGAATAATAAATACAGAAAAAAATTAAAGTGGCTTTAATCTTTTAATTTAAATGCATTTATAATTGTTATTGAAGTCTTCCCATCTTCATAGAACACTAAATGTTTACTATAGTCTTACTTTGTTAAGTAAAGCAAATCATATATATAGTACTTACAGAAAATTTCCTTAAAAAAAAAATTAATTCAATTTATCCAAAGTACAAAAGTAAAAACCAGTCATACAAGCTGAAGAGACAGAACAAGCATCAGAACTAGATGCAGACATAGCAGAAGTATTGTCATAAACAGGCTAGGAATTTAAAAGATGGTTATGTATTTTCATGGAAAAATAAACAAGATGTAAAAACAGGTGGGTAACGTAAACAGAGAGATGGAAACTCTAAAAAAGAAATCAAAATAAAATACTGGAAATTAAAACAATGTAAAAGAAATGATGAATGCCTTTGATGGGCTTGGGCTTATTAGTAGACTGGACATAACCCAAAAGAGTCAGGAGACTGAAGAATTGTCAATAAAAATTTTCAAAACTGAAATAAGAAGAGAAAACCAACTAAATAATAGAACACAATATCCAAGAAGTGTGTACAATTACAAAAGATGTAACATATATGTAATGGGAATACTAGAAGGAAAAAAGAAATATTGGAAACGTTTGAAGTATTAATGGTTAAAATTTTTCCTAAACTTGTAATAGACACACAAAACTACAGATCAAGTAAGCTCTAAGAACATCAAGCAGAATAAATACCAAAAAATCTATACTTATGTATAACATATTCAAACTACAGAAAATCAAAAACAAAGAGAAAATTTTAAAAGATGCCAGAAGAAAAAAACACATTACTTATACAGGTACAAGGATAAGAATTATATCAGACTTCTCTTCAGAAACCATGCAAACAAGAAAAGAGTAGGGAAATATTTATGTGACAGAGAAATATACTCCAGACAAACAAAAATTAAAGCAATTTGCTGTTAGCAGACCTGCCCTGCAAGAAACGTTAAAAGCTGCTCTTCAGATAAAAGGAAAATGATATTGGTCAGAACCTTTGATCTATATAAAGGAAGGAAGAGCATTAGAAAATGAATAAAGGTAAAATAAAATTTTTATTTTTCTAATTCTTATTGATCTGATAACAGTTTGTTCAAAATAGTAACAGCAACAATGTATTTGGTAATTATGGTTTATGAATAAGTGAAATGAATGAAAGCAGTGTTACAAATGACAAAAAAGAGGAATTAAAAATACTCTGTTGTAAGGTATTTGCCTGTCAATCAGTATAGTATTGCTTGAAAGCTGACTTGGATAGTTGTAAATATATATTGCAATCTCTCAGACAGCTATTTAAAAATTTAAAAAGAAGTATAACTGATATATTGAGAGACAGAAAAAATGAAATCGTATAAATTCTCAATTAAATCAGAGAAGGCAGAAAACAGAAATGACAAAAGAAAAAAATAACAAGAACAATTAATAGAAAATTGTTATGAATATGGCAGATATTAAAGCAACTATATTAATAACTTTAAATGTAAATAGTTTAAGTATACCAATAAAAAGACAGAGACTATCAAAGTGGATTTACAAACATGACCCAACTAAATGCTGTCTACACAAAACCCTCTAAATACAAAGTTATAATAGAATAAAAGTAAAGGGAAGGAGAAAGATATGCCCTAATACTAATCAAAAGAAAGCTCAGGAGCTACATTTAAGCTGACTTCAGAGCAAGAAAAATTAGGAGGGATAAAGAGGGGCATTACATAATATAAAGCGCTCATACTCATGAAAAACACAAAAATCCTTAACAACAGAACATCAAAATACGTGAGGCAAAAACTAATAGAACTGCAAGAAGAAATAGATGAATCCGCTATTAAAGTTGGAGACTTCCATATTCCTTTATTAGTAATTAATAGACCTAATAGGCAAAATATAAGGACACAGTTGAACTGTACAGCACAATCAATTATCTAGAAGTACTGAAAATAAAATTTTAAAAAGCAGATGGCAAAAAGAAAAATACTCTGAAAGCACTCTTATGAATTAAAAATAATCATAAATTTAAAATGTTCCTACGTCTAGAAGACACTACCGAATATTGTTGAGACACTGAAGTAGGAAAAGAATTATTGAACAGGACACAAAAATCACTAACCATTAAAAAAAAAGATAAACTGAATTTCATCAGAATTAAAAACTTCTCTACTTCACAAGGCATCATTTACAAAATAAAATATTGAAGCAAGAAAACAGGGAGAAATATTCACAGCACATATATCTGACAAAGTTTTTATCCAGAATATATAAAGAACTCCTACAAATCAACAGTAAAAAAGGTGAAACAACCCAATTTTATAAATGGGTAAAGAAGATATTTCAGAAAGAAGTTATTTGAATATCTAAGCAGACAGGACCAGGTTTTTAACCTCATCAATCTTCAAAAAATGTAAATTAAAGCCACAATGAGACAGTACTTCACACACTCTAGTGTCTGAAATTAAAAAAAAATTAACACTACCGTGATTAACAGGCTCCATGCCTGCCAGTTTTAATAGGATCACACTGTTGACAAGATTTGGTTACCTTTCCATGGCTTCAAATCTCATGCCTGTTAATCGCTTGACTCTGTGACTGCCAGGGAACTGTCTTCTTAGCTCTTGAAGACAAAACTGAAAAAATAAGAGTTGAGTAATAATTACATTATATATATTAAAAAGGCAATAAAGAATGGCGTATGTAGTCTTCAATGTATTTTCCTGAATAATTTCCTTAGCCTCCTCTAATAACATGAAGTGAAATTAATCAGTAAAAAAATAATGGATTGAAAGATCTATGACATTACAGTGAAGGCAACAATCAGTTCTCAGAAACCAATCATGCTCTTAACCAGGAAAATGAGCTGATTATGATATCCACTAATAATTCTTCATGTACTACTATCACATTATTCCTCCTTAAAAACTACTTCTATGAAATGTTGGGCCCCTGCTTAAATGACAACAGCACTTAGTGTTTTCTTCATAATTACAGCAGAAGCATTCTTCTGGTAAAAACTAAGTTTTTTAGTAGTCATCTCAAGTTCCTAGCAAATAATATTAACACTGTTTAATTTTGCCCTGTTGAAATTTTTTATTAATCAATCATCCTTTCAATCAACGTATCCTGATTTGGGATCAGAAAATACAGATATTAAATTAATGGAATACCAATTTCTTTGAACAAGTATCTATAATTGACTCATCAACTTGACTAAGTAAATAATCAAATATTTATTATCTATGTTCTCAGCAACATATGAAGGATTCTAAGTTCTCGAAGTCCTAGAAATGTTAAAGATTATATAAATGGTCCACTGAAGCATCCTAATGCATCAGTGACCAAAACAATGCCATTAACTACTGATGAAACTATTAACTGGTAATAAAATAAGTTTTAATATGATTTTGAAATATAACTTCAAAGTTTGTGGCTGAAATTTGCCACACTAAGAAAAATATTCAAGTTAGTCAAAAGTGAAGATATGTTCATTTATTTGACATCAAGCAAAATCATATTACTAGGTCAGTAAAGCAAGCTAACTGTATAAATAATCTTAACCATTAAAAAGTTACCGCTTAATAGGATATCCTGCTTTATTAATCAATAGTATTATCTAATCTGACCTCCTACTTTATCAAGTGGTATTTGGCTATTTAAAAAAAATAAATAAATAAAAACTTCTCTCAAGATGTAAAACTGCCACCTCTATGGATATTCAATAGTATTATCTAATCTGACCTCCTACTTTATCAAGTGGTATTTGGCTATTTAAATAAATAAATAAATAAAAACTTCTCTCAAGATGTAAAACTGCCACCTCTATGGATATTCAAAAGACTATGGCTCATAGGTTCTGAAGATAATCCAACAAAGGTTTTGTGGAATGTTTTCACCACTAACAGCTCCTCTGGAATTACATGTACAGCCAACCCAACCTTGAAAAGGACAATACTAATTCAGATGTGAATTTTTTTCAGGTATTTCTATTTTTTGTTTTTGTATATTTCCTTTCAGTTTAAATATGGAGGCAACATGAAGTGGTACTTAAGAATTCAAGATGATAAGAACAACAGCATAGACACCTCTGCTTCCTGATTTATAAAATGAATAATAACATCAAACACAAATCATGAAATAATTATGAGGGCTCAATAAAAGCATGATGTAAAGCATTTAGCTTCATGCCTCACACGAGTCCAAAAATACAGGTATCATTATAGTGTTATTTTAAAAGCAGTATTAGTATTTGTTTTTTTATTTTTTTTGGAGATGGAGTTTTGCTCTGCTGGTCAGGCTGGTGTGCAATGGCACAATCTCAGCTCATTGCAACTTCTGCCTCCCAGGTTCAAGCGATTCTCCTGCCTCAGCCCCCTGAGTAGCTGGGTCTACAGGCACGATACACCATACCTAGCTAATTTTTTTTTATTTTTAGTACAGATGGGATTTCACCATGCTGGCCAGGCTGGTCTCAAACTCCTGACCTCAGGTGGTCCACCTCCCTCAGTCTTCCACAGTGCTGGCATTACAGACAGATGTGAGCCACTGCATCTGGCCAAACATTATTAGTATTTTAAGTTATATTCTATATGTCAGAATTTTCTTATGTAAGATATGTTTATAATATTGTGTAACAATATTGAACATTATAGCCTATGAAAGTCATTCAATAAGCCAAAAGAGAAAATTGTTTCAAACTTCGCTTTTTATTTTAAACTCTATAAAACAGAATAAGTCACCTACTAAGGAGATAAATTTCAGCGACTAAATCTTTCCAGGAAAACTGGGATAGCAGATACCTACTTCTCAGAACTATTCAAAAGATTTAAGATACTTTGTCCTAAAATATCTAGTTAGTTCCATTTACTGTTCAGAGCAGCACTCAAAACCAGCTATAGAAAGCATTCAGTATAAGCCATACATTAAGTCTTAACTACAGTATACAATTCATGAAGCAGATTAAATATATATTTCATTTAAATACCTACCAATGCCAAGTCATCCCGACCATAGTCTAGTGCAGCAATCATCACCTGTTCATATATGATCCAAACTAGATATACACGGGGAGGGGAAAAAATCTGAATTTAATATTTAAAAACATAACCCAAATTGAAATTAACGAATTCTAGTTTCTGATATTTCCAGAGAATTATTACTTAGAACTGAAAATTGATTTACTGTATTATCTCTGAAACTAAGAACACATTCTTATATGTTTCAACAGTGTAAATATGTTAATATAATGTTAAAATCTCCAACTATTTAATACATTTACTGTTTTAAAAGAGTCCTTACACAATACATTTTGCCTAGACATCTGGCAGCCCTGTGAGCTTTAAAACAAAATGCCATAGCTTTATTACTACCAGGCAATTATAAATTCTTCTCAAAATAAACTATCATTAAAATTCTTGGGACAAGAAGTCACAGAGAAGATTAATACAACAACTATAAAAATCATAAATGAAAGAAGTTAAAACAGTCCATAAATGAGACATGTACTGAACCTGCATAAAAGAACTTACTATCATCTCCAAGCTTAGAAGCATATTCATTAATTAATTCTTCTCCAACTTCCACAATTTGCTCACTATTTCGTGAGTTTTCTTCTCTCCATTTTCTCATTTTATCTCGCATTTCTGAAAAAAATTACATGACATTTAAGTGTGTATGTATATACATACAAACATATATATACAATAGATGTCAAAAAATTGACAAGACAAAATCAACATTTTAGGTAAGGAAAATAAACTCACAATCATGTAGATGTCTATGGTATCTCAAAGTTGATAAAGTAAAACATTAATTGAACAAGAGCAACGGATCCTTTAGAAAACCAAAATACCATTCTGACTGGTATTACGACTATCTTTAGAAGTGATGAATGGGCCAGGCACAGGCACGGTGGCTTGTGTCTGTAACCCCAGGACTTTCGGAGCCCAAGGCAGGAGAATCACTTGATCCAGTAGTTCAAGACCAGCCTAGCCAACATGGCAAAACCCTGTCTCTACTAAATTAACAAAAATTAGCCAGCTGTGGTGGCTCACACCTGTAATCCCAGCTACTCAGGAGACCTAGGCAGGAGAATCGCTTGAAACTGGGAGGCGGCCAGGTGTGGTGGCTCACGCCTGTAATCCAAGCACTTTGGAGGCCAAGGCGGGCGGATCAACTGAGGTTGGGAGTTCAAGACCAGCCTGACCAACATGGTGAAACCCCATCTTAAAAGTAATAAAAAAAAGAAAAAATAAAGAAACTGGAAGGCGGAGGTTACAGTGAGCCAAGATTATGCCACTGCACTCCAGCCTCAGCGACAAAGCAAGACTCCATCTCAACAACAACAACAACAACAACAACAGAAAAAAAAAGAGGCATGGTGGCACCTGCCTTTGGTCCCAGCTACTCGGGAGGCTGATGTGAGAGGATCACTTGAACCTGGGAAGCTGAGGCTGCAGTGAGCTATAACTGTGCCATTGCACCCCCGTCTGAGCAACAGAGCAAGACTCCCATCTCTTAAAGGTTGAAAAGAAGTTCAGCAGGCAAATAAGAAAGTAATTTATTCTATACAGAAAGAACTACTGGTAATTCAGAATTAAATAAATACCTTGGGATCAAGAAATGAGTGTACAGGAAGTAAAAAGAGCGAGTTCCTTAGATGACTTTTATTTCATGCTAAAAAACTTTTAAGTTTTTTTTTAAAGGTACAGGAGAACAACTAAAAATTGCTAAGCAAAAAAAAAAAAAAAAGCAACACGATCAGAGCTGTCTGATAGGAAAACCATTGTCATATAAAAGAAAAACACACTGGCATGTTGTTTATATGTCAATTTTTAAAATAAATAAATTTGAAACAAAAACAAAACCAAACTCCCCAGAAGATAAACTGGAAAGGAGTAAGCAGTTCAAAGAAAATAAATTGATTGTATCAGTCCATATTCGTGCTGCTGATAAAGACATACTGGAGACTGGGCAATCAACAAAAGAAAGAGGTTTAACTGCACTCACAGTTCCACATGGCTGGGGAGGCCTCACAATGATGGTGGAAGGCAAGAAGGAGCAAGTCGCAACTTAAGTGGATGGCAGCAGGCAAAGAAAGAGAGCTTGTGCTGAGAAACTCCTATTTTTAAAACTAGTAGATCTTGTGAGACCCATTCACTATCATGAAAACAGCATAGGAAAGACCTGGCCCCATGATTCAATCATCTCGCAGTGGGCATCCCAGACAACACACAGGAATTATGGGTGCTACAAGATGAGATTTGGGTAGGGACACAGAGCCAAACAATATTACTGGTCATGGAGGATGTACAGTCTACTGGAAAAAACATGGAGTTGATACACTTGGTTTAAACTTAACCTCCATTTTTTACATGACCTTACATAGCTTACTGAATCTGTACTTAGTTTCTAATACCTATGAATAGACATACTACTACCTTACGCTAAGGGATGAGCGGTTAGGATTATATAAAACACATATAAAATTCTCAGCATGTCTGGTACATAGTGAGGACTCGGTAACCAATAGTTCACCCTATGTAAATTAAATGGTCTAAGCGAAATACATGAATCAAGCAATTTGTAATAGAGAATGACAGGAAATTAGGTGCAAAAAATAAGTGTGAACTATTTTATTTCCTTTTTAAAAAAGAGTTGGGAGAGACGCTGGAAAGATCTAAAAATAACAGCACAGTCGGTAGCTACAAGTTCTGCATGGTAGCATCACCTATGTGGAAAAAAAAACTAAACAAAGCAATTAAGTAATATCTGATGGATTCAGCAATAGAGAACCCCAAAGTGCCAATAAGCATTCACTAGAAAGCACCATAAGCCAAGATATGAAGAGCATCTAAAACAAGGAAGGGTCTGCTCTCTCCAATCCCAGGTGAGTGCAAGCAGCCAGTGGTAAAAAAGACTAAATGGGCTGGAACAGTTGAGCTTCTTTCTGTGAATTCTCAAAACTGACTGTACAAAGCTGTATATTATTTCAATATGAGCTAAAAGACATTAGAAAAGGATACAGGACATAAAATGACAACATAAATCTGAATTAGAAGATCTCAGAAATGATGCAAAAGAACTCAGTATCAGAAATAAAGTAATTTCAAAAATTAAAACTAAATTAGAAGGAACAGAAGTGCAAATAAACGAAGAATAAAAAAGGAAAAAGTTAAATGTAGAAGAAATAAAAAGATGAATAAGGATATCAAATATGGCAAATATGAAGATAGGCAAAGAATATCCAAAATGCAGATAAAAGGAGTCCCTGAAGAAAATCCAGCAAATACACAGAATACTAAAAACCATAATTCAAGAAAATTTTGATATAGAAAAAGATTTGAATGTATACATTGAAAGGACATCCCACGTACCTTAGAATATTAACGTTGAAAGACCAAAACCAAGGAACATGCTAGTAAAATGTTCCTTTAAATTTTAAAGAGGGAAAACAATCCCTTAAGCAAGAGGAGGACTTGAATTACAAGGGAAAGAAATATAAATGAGCATTAAAATTTTCCACAGCAATGTTTTATGCCAAAAGAAAATGGATTCACATAGTTAAGATATTTAACAAAAGAAAGTATTAGCAAAGATTTCCTACCCAGCAAAATTTAGTTCCAAGTATAAAGTACACAAATTTTGAACATGCAAGAATGTTAAAGAATATTGTACCATGTACTCTTCCTGAGGAATCTACCACAGAACAGGTTTCAAATAATCAAATAACTAGAAAGACATCAACATAAGGACTTGCGGTGATCATAAGTCACACAGTTATCTGTAAAACTAACAATAGATAATGGTTAAGCAGGAGAGAGCTTATGGTTTATGCTCTGACAATGCAGATACAAAACAACTATATAAAGAACTAGATGATAGAATCAGAGCTGCTATGGTTTGAATGTTTGTGTCCTCTCCAAAATTCACATTGAAACTTAACCCCCAGTGCAACAGTATTAATAAGTGATGCCTTTAGTGGGTGATTAGGCCATGAGGGCTCCACTCTCATGAATGGGATTAGCACTCTTATAGTACAGATTAAAAAAGTGAGTTTGGCTCCAATTTTTACTCTTCCTTCCTTTTCACCACACGATGATGACACAGTATTCACAGCGCCATCTTGGAAGCAGAGACTGAATCCTTAACAGTCATGGAACCTGCCAGCACCTTGATCTTCGACTTCCAGCCTCCAGACTGTTGAGAAATAAAATGTCTGTTCTCTATACATTATCCAGTCTCAGATGTTTTGTTAATAGCAGCACAAACAAACTAAAACTGAAACTGGAACCAGGAAATGGAATTCTGCTATACAAGTATCTAAAATTGTGGAAACAGTTTTATTAATAGAACTAGATAAGACCTAGAGGCTAGATCATAAAGGGCTATTCTGATGAGGGCAAAAAAGAAGAGAGCTATAGATAGAGCCTAAATCTTAGAGATTACTGAAGTGGTCAGAATGCTGGTAGAACATGGACAATAAAGTTTATTGTGAAGAGGTCTTGGACAGAAATGAGGAGTATCTTATTGGAAACTGGGAGGAAAGGCCATTCTTGTTACCAATTGGCAAAGAACTTCAATGAATTGTGTCCATGTCCTAGTACCTTGTGGATGGCAGAATTAAGAGCAATGAACTAGGATGGGGGTCCCCAACCTTTTCGGCACCAGGGACCAGTTTTGTGGAAAACAGTTTTTCCACAGACTAAGGGTGGGGGGAGGGGTGTTTCAGGATGATTCAACGGCATTACATTTATTGTGTACTTTATTTTGATTACTATGTTATTATATATAATGAAATAATTATACAACTCAACATACTGTAGAATCAGTGGGAGCCTTGAATTTGTTTTCCTGCAACTAGATAGTCCCATCTAGGGGTAACAACAGATCATCAGGCATTAGATTCTCATAAGGAGTATGCAACCTATATCTCTCACATGCACAGTTCACAGTAGGGTCCGCGTTCCTATGAGAATCTAATGCCACAGCTAATGCGACAGGAGGTGGAGCTCAAGCAGTATCACGAGCAATAGGGAACCGCAATTGAGACTGGTATCAGTCTCTCGTCTGGGGGTTAGGGACCCCTGAACTAGGATATTTGGTGGAAGAAATCTCTAAGCAAAGTGTTAAGGGTTTCTCTTGACTGCTTATAACAGGCAAAGCAAAAAACAAAGAATTTAAAATAAAAAATGAAGCTGAACTTAAAGATTTGTAAAATTCTCAACCTGGCCAAAATGTAAAGAGTTAAAAGGCATGTTTGGGAGAAAACACCAAGAATTTGGTCAAGCAAATGTTTGATAAGATTAATAGGGACTGATGGAAGCCAGGTGTTATTTATCTAGACAATAATAAAAGAACGATTCTGAAGATAATTTAGAGATCTGTGAGGCTAGCACTTCCATCATAAGCTTAAAGTGCCAAGACCTTGAGAGGTTTCAAAGGAGAGGCCCAGAGCCTTCATGGGGCCTCAGGGCTCACCGCAGGGCCACCTCAAAGTTTTTCTCCCCACATTCTGGCATACTGTTCCTCAGCTGCCACAGCTGTGGTTCATGCTGGCCCAGATTGCAGTCTGGGCAGCTGCTCCAGAACTCACAGGTGGGAAACCTTGGTGCTGCCCCCTCAGTGCAAGAGAAATAAAGGT